CTCTGTAGTCCAATGAATTTGTCTACATCAGCTTTCAAATTTTTTGGTTTTTATTTTTTTAATTTGTTTTTAATAAGGATATTTGCGAAGTTCACTATTTTATTTATGATACATATGACAGACAGTGGGAAAAATTTTTTTGGTTTTTAGTTAACTGAACTAGCATGTTTTACAAAGAGGAAATTAAGAAGGAAAGTTAATGAACTAACAAGGTGGACTTTAAGAGGTCATGATGAGAAATGTAACAATCTATAAATGCATTTTCAACCTTGACTCAAGATCAATGAAATTAATAGAACCAAATTAAAAGCTCCAAAATTAACTAGAACAGGTGTTTAACAAGCTCTGGACCATACAGACCTCAGATCTGATTCGATGAGGGCCCAAATGATGTCAGCCAGCAGCAGCTTCCTATCCCTGCTTCAGCCAACTGTTAGTTGCAACCAAACGAATCCTCAGCTGACCAAAGCTGAAGCACCTCCCAATCTACATGGAAACAGAATTCAGGCCACTGCTGGAAGTGAGGGGCTCTGGGTTTTTATGGTAACGGTTCTTTAAGTCTTGAGCTGTGTGGTGCCATTAAAGCTCAAAGTGTAAACATCCCCATGCATAGTGAAACTTAGGCTCAAGGAAAATAATTTCTGAAAATAGAAAAAGAAGCAAAAAGTGTTGGGGGAGGACAAACGTGGAAGATCCAGATGGTCATGATAATCTCGGAGGATTTTTCATAAACCACAAATTCATTATGACAAAGCAATAAATTCAACATGACCATAAAAGCACAAATTATGGAATGAGAAATAAAATTTCAAGGAACAAAACAGGAATATTGTCATCCAAATAACATGATTTTAAAAATACAAATATTCCAGTTAATTTTTCAGCAAAGTCTTATGAAGGCATTGTGTCCATCAGATTGAGATTTCATTCTGTCCTCAAAAACATTTCCCTCCTTATAAACTCTTTTCCATGGCAACTATGGCCTCACTTTCTCCTGCCCTTCACGTTAAACTTCTTCACACAGCAGCCTGCCACTGAGATTTCCTTTCCTACAGATTCCTCATCGTGGGCAATTTAACGAACTTCTTTCCCTCCTGTTAAAACTGCTCCCCTGTGAGCCCAATGACTCCCATGTCCAACTCCGAGGTTTTCTTCTCTGTGCTCCAGCTGCTTACCCTGTGATATTTCTGACTCCTCTGCCACCTCCTGAAATTAACTCTTCTCTCCCCTTCTATGGCACTGTGCTCTTCTGTTCTCCATCTGGATCTCATTCTTAACAAAAACAGTCATACTCATCTCAAAGAAGAGCACACCCTTCTCCGTTAGAGCTCAACTGGCAGTTAAAGCAGACAGTTTTGCCTTATTGAAGCTTTAAATTACATGTTAAAAAAAAAAGTCAATCTAGCAGCCTGGATGAGTTTTTTAAAGCAAAGTAATTTTTAAGTGCTCTAAAGTCTGAAAAATAATCTTATCAAAAGGAACAAACTATCCCAAAAGGAATGTGAATAGCTCAACCTCTGGGCAATGAAAGCCTTCTACAAAAGACCATGAAGCTGTTTGTTTATCAGAAACTGAGATTACAGACCTCTGTATTAAAGTAGATAAAAAAGATAACACACTTCCCACTCAAATTCACTTCCCACCTTACACACACACACACACACACACACACACACTACAGGGAGCAGTTTTGTCTACAGGGCACCAGCATAATTTAATGCATATCCTCAATGCTGATTAATTTGCTGTGCCCTATATTGGGACCTTTTAGAAAACATAACTATCTTTTATTCATCTTTCTACTCCAAGCAACTAGCACTGTGAGCAGACACTCAACAGATTCTTAGTGAGCATGCGCCAGATGGATGTAAGTGCAAAGTTATCCATTCTTTTCAAAGCTAGCGAGAATTATCAACTGCAGGAAAGGAAAATATCTTTTCTTCACCCATCCTAGGTTCCCGGCTGAGGTCCTTTCTCACAGATGCACGGAGAAAAAGCACAGATTTATAACAGCCACTTATCTGCCTGATGTACAGACTTTGTAAGATAATGAAGACTTGAGACAACTTAGCCTGTGAAGTTTCTCTTGCTGCAGTGGCTGTTTTACTGTACTGGGGGTTGAACCCCCAGCTCTCCAGCACTAAGCCACATCCCCAGTGCTTTACATTTCATTTTGAGACAAGGTCTCACCAAACTGCCCAGGTTGGGCTCGGACTTGTGATATTCCTACCTGAGCCTCTGAAGAGCTAGGATTACGGGTGTGTGCCACCATGCCTGGGTACCCTGTGAGTTTTTATGCTAGATTTAAAGAATTGCACAGTTACAGGGAAATACAAGAGAACAAACGGGGCTGTGATCTTATGGTGATAGATGGGGATTTTACCAAGGGCTCCTTGTTCAGGTTCTTCTCTGTCATCCTAGATCTTCAGAGAGAAGGTTATTCTTATAAAGACATTCCTCTCCTTCAGGTATGGGGAGAAAACCTGCCACATGTGTCTTATGAGCTGCTGCACGGAGAAGGGTGGAGAGGTCAGAGCACCTTCAATGCATCAAATTCCCTTTAAAAAAAAAAAAATGGGCTGGGGATTTAGCTCAATGGTTCGGTGACCCGCCTGGCAAGTGCAAGGACCCGAGTTCAATCCCGGTACCAAAAAAAAAAAAAACAAGGCCTCACACATGCTACCCATGCACTCCATCACTGAGCCACATCCCCAGCCCAAAAGTCCCATATTTTAGAGTAGCATGTCCTGAACCCCACCACATCACTTTGGAAATCCATTATGAAATACAGTTAAAATGTTACCCAAATGCAAGGGATTTCTTTAACTGGGTTGATGACCTGATAATAAAGTAAAAATGCAATGTAATCTGTATAACATTTGACATGTGATCTAAAGAATTTGCCTTTTAATTAGCAAGAGTACTTTCTTTCTCACATCATACTTTTTTAAACTCCAGATGCATAGAATTTAGCAATTTTCTTTGGAGGCTTTGGTAGGGGAAAGCATATTGAAAACAGCTAATCCCTAGGTACATTATGGTGGTAAAATACAACAATATCATACTTTTCTAATAAAAATATATAATTAGCATAACAGTAACCCACTATGCATCTCATTAGTTGCACTGGGAGAATACAGAAAGCAATCTTTGTGTTCACCTACTTGGTACAGTGAACAGTAAGTTGTATGCACGTGTATCAAAGGGTTAACTCCGTGTCACATTTTTGTGCATTTATAATTTGCTTTAATAAACATTTTGTTTTGATTTTTCTTGTACAATTAGCCCAATGCAGTACAATGTCACATGAAAATTCACTTTTATAACTCTGCGAGGAAGCTGAAAGTGATTCATCAGGTGATTCACCTACCAGTGATGACTTGGATCATGTAAGTAAAGAAGTTGTGACACTGAGACAGAGCAAGCTATGAAAGAGAAGTACAGAATGAAGACCTTGATTCAGATAAGAAGAAAACAGCAATGCAAATATTTGACTAATCAAATGCTACAAAATGATCATGAATACCTGAATGATCTGATGTTATCACTAGTCAGAAAATGTCATTAGGTTCTTGCCAGGGGTGAAATCCATTAGACAGAACACCAACACTGCAATTCAATGTTGGAAATTCCTTGTAATGGATGATATGCTACAAAATGTACTAATAATGTACTAATAATGAAATACAAGTAAAACTTTCCATATGCACCAATAGTAATAGTCAAAAATATAGTTATCATGACACCTCACTATCTCAACAAAAACCTTCATAGCAGGAATTTAGCATCCTAATTGTTAAGATTCCTAACCACATGCTCTTCAAATGGCACATTCATCATATGTGCACAGTCACAGAATCACAGAGATTTCACCACAGTTTCTGGATCTCAACCCAGCAACACCAGCCCCTTTTGCATCACATCATGAGAGAAGTTCACTTGTAAATAAGCACGCAACACTATACACAAAGCACCACTCTGGTGAACCTGCAAGTCCTGGTCTGCATGCGCATGTGGAGGGTAGCCCTTTTATTAGTTAGAAAAGAAACAGCTAAGAGAGGAGGAGCCCAGGCTCCCTGAGCCAGGTAAAGTAGCCCTCCCTACTATGGATTCTCCATCTGTGGATTCAATCAATCTTGGGTCAAAAATATTCAGGAGGGAATTTCTTCTGTACCGAATGTGTACAGATTTTCTTCTTGATCACTGTTCCCTAATTACTATGTATAACAACCAAGCACATAGCACCGACATTGTACTAGGTATTAGTAACCTGGACATGATTTTAGTACAGCAGAAAGTGTACAGGTCAGATGCGAACATAACCCCATTGATACAAGGGACTGGGCATCTGATGTACAGATCTTGGTATGTTCAGATGTGGGGGCCCTGGGCGCAATCCTCCAAAGTCTGGAGAAAACAAGGGACAACTGCACTTAGTGAAGATGCCATCCTGCCTGTGACATTTAGAAGCAGCACCCTCACTTCCAGGGTGATTCCTCTCAAGCCAGCGAGCTCAGCTTGACAAGCAAGATGGAGTCTGTATCTCAGCCCCAACTTGTCCCTTTCAGAGCTGTTCTTGTGCAGATAGCCATCAAGAACTTGCACAGTGGTCCCACAGACAGGCAGGATAGAGAGAAGGACTGGCAGGTTCCCAGGCCTGGGGCAGGTAAAGCAGGTCAGCACATCCATGAGAAGGCCAACACTGTGCCAGGGCACACAGCTGTACCACTTAAAGGTCAGATTTAGTCAGGTGATGTCAAAAAGATGCAAGCTACAGAAAAGACTTTAGAAATGCTCTGCAGGCCATATAGGACAGCTGCTTAGATGACATCAAATACATCTATTGTATATAGTGTCTTTTTCATTCTTCCGATTATTTAGATAAAATTTTTAATACAATATCTTACTTTAATTCTCTAAGATTCAAACCACACAATCTCCTATTTTAAAATGACCAAATCTTCTAAATCTGTCACCTGAAATAACATCCTTAAGATTACCTTTCACACCGCCAAAAGGCCCATAGGTCATATTGCAGGCTGTTCTCTGAAGATGATGTTCGTACATCAATTTGATCTGATACTGGTTCCCATGTTCCACGTTACCCAAGGTTCCTAATGAGAAAAAAATAAAAGGATTACTTTGTACATCTTTATATTGTAAGAACATTAATTTCTCATCTTCTGTATCAATTCTAAGTAATTTAATGTTAGTGAAATTTAAACAAAGCCCTAAAACATTATGTACAATTAGCATAATAAAAACACAGAAAGCCAGAATGACTGAAACCATTTAATTTCAGCTAGATGACACCTTTAGATGAAATATCACCCCAGGGAATACTTTAGCAACTACTTTTGTTAGACATGCCTGAGTAAAGTGTAATTACTTAAATAATAACAAACACTTTTGCTTCAGTAAATCAGGTTAAGTTCCTTGTGTTATAAACAATAACTGCAAAGAAATGACTCAAAAGTGTCCAAGAAAAAAATCCTAGCACTGGGCTGGGGATTTGGCCCAGTGGTTTGGTTTGCAAGCACAAGGTCCCTAGGTTCGATCCCCAGTACCACAAAAAAAAAAAAAAAAAAAAAAAAAAA